GGGCCGCGCGGGCGCGCGGGGGCGCGGCGGCTGCGGCGAAGGGGGCGGGGCCGTCCTCCTGGTGGTGCATGGGGTCAACCTCCGCATGGACCTGCGGGTGGGGGTGGGATTGCATGTGCGAGGCACGCGAGTGCAGCACGCGGCATGAGCACGCTGTGGCATTGCTGAGACGCCCGGGCAGCTGCGCCACAGGGCCAGCCCGATTGGCCAGCCTTCGAAGCGGACGGCTCCCAGATCCACTGTGTATCCCTTGAAAGTCATGGTGTTCGCCATAGCGCAGGCCCGCAAAACATAAAGCGGTGCGCACCTCTTCCGCAGGCACGACGGTCTCCGTGTCCTGCTGCGAGCTGCCGCCGCTCAGTGCAGGCATCGCCGACTGTGCCGGCACAGGCGGGTCCTGCTGCAGCGCAGTTGGCTGCTGCTGCTGCTGCTGTTGGTGCTGCTGCTGCTGCTGTTGCTGCTGTTGCTGCTGTTGCTGCTGCTGTTGCTGCTGTGGCTGCTCCTGGACTGGTGCCGCGCTCGGCTGCACGGCCACGTCCATTGGCCCCGGGCTGCAATGTGGTGCTGCGTGCTGCCCATCCTCTACCTTTTGTTCCTGCAGCTTGGGGGCAGCTGCAGCTGCTGCTGCCGCCGCCACAGCCGCCGCCTTTTTCTGCGCGGCCGTCTTAAGCTGTAAACGTCGCTGCGGCTGTGCTGGCGGGTGCGGCTGTGCTGGCGGTAGAGGCTCCTGCTTATGCTGCTGCTGCTGCTGCTGCTGCTGCTGGGGCGGCTGCGGGTCTGGTTGCTGCTGCACAGCGGCAGCTGCTTGCTGCTTGCTTGCCTGGGTGCTGGCCCCCGCTGTCGCCGCTGCTGCCGCAGCAGCTGCCGCTGCATTGGCAGCTGCTGTGGCAGCCGCGACACTCGCCGCGGCAGCGGCGGCCGCGGCCGCTTTCTGCTTCTGCTCCTGGTGCTTCTGCAGCGCAGCCTGGGACTGCTGGATCTGCTGCTGCAGGATCAGCTGCTGCTGGAGCAGCTGCTGTTGCAGCTGCTGGGGGGCCAGCGGCACCGCTGTGCCCAGCGGCGTTGCAAGCGCACCAAGCGGCAGCGGCTTGCCGCCCGCCAGTGCCTTGGCCGGGCCCATTGTCACGGCCGGGCCCATCATTGGCAGGGTTGTCGGCACCATCGGCATCCCCAGTAGCCCGGGTGCCTGCGCCAGCACAACGCCGCCGCTCGCGCCGCCGCCCGTAGTCAGCGGCAACGCCGTCAGCGGCCCGCTCACGCCGCTGAGCGGAAACACCATCGGCAAAAGCGGCATGGCCGCCAACGGTGTGGCCAGCAGCATGGGCTGCGTGGCCGCGGGTGCTTTAGGCAGATCGCTCTTCGATGCTCCCCCTCCCGGGGGCGCTGCGCCTGAACTCATGTGTAGAGTCCAGTTTGATACTCTCTGTGTGCGTGAGGGGCTGTATAGGCCGCGGTTGGGAGCAGCGGCCCTCTGTCCAGGTGCGGCATGCACCAGCCCCGAAGCCAAGCGCCTTATATGCGCGCGCTGGTTCTAAATATTGTCCAGTCTAGCCGGTGTAAGGGTCTCTGAGGTGGCCTGGGGTCTGAGGTGCCGCTGAGATGCACAGAACGATGCTCTGAGGCGCGTAGAAGAACAGATTACGTGTAGTCGTCTCAGCACGCGGACGAGCGTGTGGAACGGACTACTGGAAAGGGGGGATGCGAGGCGCGTCGCCGTGGTCACAGAGCAGAGCGCACCCCTCACTCAGCCACCAGCTTCAGCGAAGTCAGGTAACGAAGCCGCATGCGTAGCTCACACATTGCTCACAATGGACCGACAAGAGGATGACGTGTACTGCTTATTCCGGCACCTGTCAGACGGTGATCGGTGGCGCTTGGGAGATGGGGTCAGCGGGCGGACTCGCCCGACTGGCCACCATGCTGGTCCTGCCTTTGACGTGTGGGCTGGAGAATGGAAAACCTGCGGTCAGCCTGGGTCGTGCTGAATCCGCCGGAATGCCGCATTGCATCTTCACATGATAAGTGACTTGGACATGCATGTGCCATGCGCGACAACCCTTGGGGCGCACGTGCAATGTGGCTTCGCGCCCAGGTCCGGCCAGGCAGTGGGCAGTCGACACAGAAAAAAAGTGGCGCTAGAGCGCTTCCACGCATGGACAAGCGTCTTGCTGGATTCAATCATGCATGCGCTGGCGCTAAACCAGCAGCACACCGCCTGCCCGTCGTTGCGTGGCTCACAAGCAGCTGCGCCCACCAGGAAATACTGGGCAACAGCTCAGCAAAATGAATTGATGCACGCCCGCTTCAAGCTTGGCTACCGTGTGCACAGGCACTGCAGATGGGTGCGCTGTCGCAGGCTGTTTGGTTGCCCCACGACGGAAGGCTCAACACACATGCACCATTTCAAGGCTAATAGGTGTGCGTCATGTTGCATAGTACAGTAGGGATTGTCCGGGATAGAGACCTTCGTGCCAGCAAGGAGGTCGCGACTCCAGGACGCACACCTGCAGCACCCGGCAACCCCATGAGCTTGCCCGGGGTCTCCATGCCGTGCGAGGATTGGCCAGTTGCATCAGAGATGTAAATGATACTGCCTTGATGACTTGGCTCTAAGGCACGGATGACAGGCATCATCTTGTGCAGGCTGCCAACTGCAGCTGTTTTGGCGAGGTTGTGGCTGCTGCGATGCGACCAGAGCGCTGTTATGATTGACGCGCCTGGAGTGGTGATAACTAAGTTTGCTCCAGCGTCCCGATCGCGCTTTTGTTGTGCTACCCACGCTCGCATCGTATTTCGGAGCATGGCGTCTGCTGCCAATGCTGATCTCGGATCAGCATTGATCATTTTCATCAGCTGTGCTGACGCCTTATATTAAATTACTCACAAAGCTCAATATCGATATAAACATTCCTTAGGGATAGCGAGCCTCTCAACTGCAGCGCAGCTGCTGCACAGGCATCTCAACACCCACGCCACCGCCGCGTGCGCTGCTGGGAACAACACAACGAGGCGCCCCAGTTGCGCCCTGGACTTCGTGCGCCAGCGATGAGCGGCTGCATAGGCAACCTGTGCCTAGGCCCAGCGTACTATGCGACCGCCGCTGTGGTCGCCAGGGCGTCGCTCGCCTTGCTGGGCGCCGGCGAGCCGCTCCTGTGGCGCCCGGAGGTGACGACGCCGCTCAACAGCCTCCTGGGGGTGCGTGAAGGGCTGCGCATGCTGCAGCTGGGCCTCTCCCCCTACGCGGGCGCGTCCTGCCACGCGCCGCCGCTGGTGCTGGCGCTGCACGCGGCCACGGCAGCGCACCCGCTGCTGTACGCGCTGCCAAACACCGTCGCGGACGCCCTGGCGGCGCTGGCGCTGTGGCGGCTGGCGTCGTTGCTCTGCAAGGGCCGCAGCGCAGACGCGTCGGGTGAGTTGGACTGGCAGCTGCAGCCGCTCAAAGGCTCACGTGTTGACTGGCTTGCCGCCACCACCGGCCCTTGACCTGGCGGCTGGGCGGCCGTTGCAGCAGCGCAGCAGGATGCAGGGCGGCTGGACCCCTGGTGGATGCAGGCCCTCGACCTCGCCACCCCTGCACGGCGCCCGCTCGCCTGCCGCACATCCGCTTTTGCCTGGCACCTCCTCAGGCATGCTGCTGGGCCCCGCGTCGCTGGCAGCCGCCTACCTTTGGAATCCTGTAGGCATCCTCGCCACCATTGGCGGCACCACCACACCCCTGGAGAACCTGGCGGTGATGGCGGCCCTGCTGGGCGGCGCTGCACGCAACGCGCCGCTGGCGGCGGCCGGGCTGGTGGCGGGCACATATGTGGGGCTACACCCGCTGCTGCTTGGGGTGAGAGTCGGCGCAAGGGGGGGCAGGCGCACACAAAAGCATTGGGCTAGCACAAGCAGGGGGTCAGGGCAGCCGCACTGCAACTTTCACAAGTACGGGGGTTGCACGCTTGCCTCACCTGTCAGGAGGGCGCATCATGATGCTACGGCTACACACGCGCTCATTTGCGGCTTGCAGGTGCCCCTCGCAATCATGTTCGGCCGTGGCTGTGAAGACGTTACGCAGCTGTGTGATGCACGGACGGCAGGCAGCGGCAGCTTGGCGAGCCAACAAGGCGGCGGCACCAGCAGCAGCGGCGGCGGCGGCGGCGGCGGCGAAGCAGGCTCAGGCGCGGAGACCAGCCGCCGAGCTGCCGGTGCGGGCAGCAATCCTGTGGCCGCGGCAGCGACGGCGGCGGCAGCGACGGCGGCGGCAGCGGAGGCTGCGGCCCGCGGACTGGAACGGAAGCGCGAGCGCTTCGAGTGGATGCGCTGCGCGGAGTTTGCCGTGTTTGCGGTGGTGTGGGGCGGCGCCCTGCTGTGGCTCTCAGACCTCTTCCTGCGCGCCCACCCTGAGGCGCAGTGCCTGCCGCGGCTGGCTGCTTGGGCGACCGCCGCGGCCCCGCCGGCCGCCGCACGCCGCGGCGCCTGCTGGCTGCGCGCCTCCCACGGCTTTGCGCTGGCGGTCGATGACTACACCCCAAATATTGGGCTGTTTTGGTATCTCTTGACTGAGCTGTTTGACGCGTTCCGCCCTTTTTTCACATTTGTGCTGCACTCGCACGCCGTCATATTCGCCGCGCCGCTCGCGCTCCGCTTCCCGGGCCGTCCGCTCTTCGTCGCGTGGGCGCTGCTGCTCGCGTGCGCGGCGCTGCGCCCCTACCCCTCAGCCGGCGACCTCGCGCCGTGGATGGCGCTGGCGCCGCTGGCGCTCGCGCAGCAGCTGCGGCAGCTCAGGTCGGCCCTGTTTTTGGTCAACGCCCTGGTGCTCCTGGCGGTGCTGGGCCCCGCGATGTGGAGCCAGTGGATCATCGTCGACGCCGCCAACCCCAACTTTTTCTACTCGATTACGCTGCTGCTGGGTGTGTTCTATGTGGTGGTGTTGGTCCAGGCCGTGCTGCTGACTGTTCGGGTGGAGCGACTAGCTGCAGGAAAGGTTGTAGGCGATGGCCTGGGCGCTGGCGGCGGCAGCGGCGGCAGGGGTGGCGATGATGGACCCGTTGGGGCGGCTGCGGCAGGGGCCACGGCAGTTGCGGCCAATGGGTCTGTAGCTGAGTAACGTTACAAGCTGCAGAGCTTTGGGTGATGCTTCTCGCGAGAAGGCGGCGATGAGGATGTTGATGCAGCGTGCCTTTGGTGCCGCTGGTGCCCAGGGCGTGCCTGTCGCGATGGGGAGGTTTGGCGGTCTAGGCGCGGTGCGTGGCACGCTCCCCGTGAAGCTGCCGCGTGAGTATCCCTTTACCTGGTGGGTGGCTGTGGGGTCATCATGAGATTACGGTACTGATGCATGCGTGAGAGTTTCACCACAGGTACATTCACCCAACATCCCATCTACGCAACAACTTGTCCAGTCGTCATCCCGGCGCCACCATTTCCCTAACGCACGCCGGTGACCCGGGACGCGTTGCGACCTTCAAGCGTTCCCACATGTACGCGCACACGTATGCTGACTATGATACTGCATGGAACGCTGTACCGTAGTGGACCCACCTGCACGCCTGGCAGGCCGCCTGTCGCCGCGGCATGTCGCCGGGTGACGAGGCTTGGCACCGGACTGTCCACGAAGAGATGTTGTTGGGGTTGCCTGCACCATCATGCTCTCCTTCATTAGCTTGTGTCACCTTTCTCTCAGACAGCTCCTCAAACCGAAAGCAGGGATCGCCCGTGACTGCCGTAGCTTTCGGCGACAAGCGCCTCCGTCTCGGACTTGAAGCTCAGACGGACAAACATCTGTTAACTCTCTCATATGACAGATCTGAAACGTGTCGGGCAGCCCGGCCAGAGCGCGCTGCAGCGGGCAAGGATCTTGCCCGCCATCATCATCAGACGTGCGTTTGCTTACCGTGAGCCTATATAGCTGCTATTTAATTATTATGACTAATTTAAGGAGACCCTACGGGCCTAACGGGGCTAGCACGTTTTGTATCAGTGTCGTCGCAACTGCTGTGCGTCGCAGCGCGCTCACTGACGCCTAATTGCCCTCCAATGTGCAACTCATCCCACCCCGCAGCTCCCGTGCTTGTGCCCCCCGCCACCGCGGTCGCTGCGGCGCCTGCGCCGGTCGACTTTGCCGCCCTGCGGGCAAGCTTGTCGCGCCCCGTCCCTCGTGCACCGCTTGACGCCCCGCGCCGCTTCAGATGTAGGGACCTGGAGGATGAGGTCGGCAGCCATGTGACATTTCCGCAAAGGTCGCACTCGCTGTTCGGTGGGTTCCCGCTCAGGTGCTGCGCTGCGCTGCGTGTGCTGTGCCGGAACGATAACAGCTAGCAGTTTCGGCCGAGGCCTGAACGAGCGCGCGGGCCAGCTCTCTTGTGAGCCCGCCATTGATGTGATAGCCAGCAAATTTGACACAGCGCACCTCGCGCCCACGGGCCGCGCACCGAGCCGTCCCGCGGCACGCTGCAGAGGTCTCTCCGCCTCGCCCTCATCCCACAAACTCCTCCCTCATCACTTGCACGCCCCCTCGCCGCGACCTGCAGGCAACTGGGCCGTGACCGGCCCCGCCGTCATCCGCCGCGTCGGCGGCTCGCTGTCCGCGCTTGTCCGCGCCGGCGGCTACGTCAGCGTCGGCTCCGCCCTCGACCGTGTGATGCGCCCCGACGGCGACGACGCCCTGTGGGTTGGCCCCGACGGCCGCCCCGCCAACCCCGGCGGCGGCCCCGGCGCCGACGGCGCGCCGCCCGCGGCCGCGTTCGAGCTGCATGGGACGCACGTCGAGGTCTGCGGGCCGTACAAGCTCCTGATGCCCGGCCCCGGCGCGCGCGAGCACGGCGGACGCTGCATCCTGACGGTGCCGGCGCTGTCTGAGGACAACCGAATCCTGCTGCTGCCCGGCGCCTGCCTCTCGCACCCGCTGTGCGCCACGCCCCAGGCCGCGGCAGCGGCGGCGGCAGCGGCGGCGGCGGCGGCGGCGGCGGCGACGGCGGCGGTCGCGGCGACGGGGCTGCGCGTCCGCGCGCGGCCGGGGTTGGGATAACCTGACATCGACCAGGAGGGGTTGGAGGTTGCGAGCGCGCGGCCCACGCGCGTGCGCACCTTCCCCCCTTTTTGATTATCCCTTCTGCCTGGTTGCGGGTGACTTGTTGGCTACTCCAGGTTCGACAAAGCACCACAAAAAAGCAAGGCGAACCATGCAGCCTGCAGCGAGGGCGTGCGGCCGGCGGCAGGCGGCAGAGAGCGCCCAACGCACTCCAGCGTGCGCAAACGCAGACAATAAAAGACGTAGCGCGGCGCTCGCTGCTGTGCAAGCGTGGCCGCCGCAACCCAGTCCATCACGCTTCGCGTGCGTCGTCCAACACAATCAATATGTACAACGGCCGTGCGCTTCCCCCTTTGCAAAGAATGAGGGCATGCCGTTCTGCAGTGGGAGTAACGGGGAGCTTGGATCCGGCGGTCTTGCGCACCGCCGCTGCCGAACGCCGCTCCGCACTTACCCGGCCCCTTTCGCAGTACCCCTCCTCGCCTCCGCATTCCTGCACGCAGCGCCTGCGATGGGCTTACAGCCCTCGCCTGGGCTGCATGATCGTCATGCCCCCGCCCCCCCTTACAGCCGCGCGTGCAGCAGCGCAGTGTGCTGCATGCGTCGCATCGCGCCGCCCGCCCCGCGACGGCAATGCCACACGCAGCGCCCCTGCCGACGCCTGCGCCTGTGCGGCCACGCGGCGCTGTACCCCCTTTCGCCCCTCCAACCTGCACTTGATCTCCTGCCCCAGCCCGTCTCCCGCGAGTTGAGAGCCCGGTTGCTTTTCCGGCTCACAGGCAGCAGGGCTGGTCTGCCAATCAGCCGTTGTCTGTCCCCCGAACAGCACCCATCGAGGCGGCCCCTCAGCGCCAAGGGTGTGAGCCATGCTTTGACGGCTCTCGCTTCAGCACCTAGCGAGGCCCACGCCATGACGTGGCTTTGATCCACGAGCTTCATTGTACCAGTCAAGGCGCCCGGCGCCCCAACGGCTGCAAGTTGGCCTCTGTACTCACTCCCTCAGCACCAATGCGCCCTTTTCAAACCGATACTTGGCATGCTTTCCACTTTCCTTGCCTTATACATTGCAGCGGCGCCTCGACCTCAGGGCCTGGAGCCATGGACCCATGCTGGGTGCCAAGCACCCCAGCCCGCCCCGACAGCAACCCGATTGTGGGCTTGCCGCGCTGCCCAAAGAGCGTGCGTGCGACCCAGCACCAACAACGCAACCCTGGCACTCTTTGTGGCGCATCTACCGCACCCAGCCTTGTACACGCCACCCTCTTCCTCGTTCTCATGACGTGCTCCTTGCGCTCTCAACGGGCGGCTTCCACACCACCTCTGATACGTGCGCAGCAGCGCCCCTCACTCGCTTCCCATATGCCGGCATATTGCACTCCTTGGCCACCATCATTGCACACCTAATGCTAGGTTGTTTTGTGTTTGTGCCCAGGCTTTGTGGCTTGGCGTTCACAACTGCATGTCATCCATTCATACTTGTCACTGACGCGAACTGTCTGAGGTACCACCCAGTAGAGGCTGGAGAGGTTGCAAGAGCTGAAGCCAGCTTTGCGGCTCTTGTGCATCATGTGTACGAGTTGGGGCATGAAACGTCTCCAAGGTGCATTTCAAATGTGTTTCAGGAAGTTGGTTGCGCGGATCCGTCTGCCCTCAATAACAGTGTGCCCGTCCCTGCACTTGCGTCCTCCTGGGTGGCATGTAAGTTTACAAAAGCCAGTGATGCAGCGTCATCACAGTCATGGGCTCCTACTACATACTTGAACTATCCTAAAACTGCAGTCCTTGGCTCTTGCTACATACTTGGACTTGAACTGCAGTCCTGGGCTCCCACTATGAGGCTCCTCATACATATGTAGCTTGGGTGGCGGTGGGTGATGGGTCGGCTCACCACTGTGTCAAGGCAGCGCATCTGACGTTCCATGCTATGATGTGATAGGTGACTCAAATTGCATAAATCGCAGATGAACCGTATGCAGTATCGACCATACTGTACCGTGCGGTAGCTAACACACAAGATTTGTGAACGGAACGTAGGAAGTGATCGCAATCGCGAGGTTGAGAACAGAACAACAGCATAAATCACATTATTTATGTAACATTGAAGGAACTGCACAGCAAGCCCGGCTTTATCCGGTCAACAATGCATCGAGTGATCTGAGAGGGACAGCCAAGGGATGGAGGCATATCAGACTACCAGGGCGCCATGGCCGTCCGATCAGTGGGCTTGGTCAAAGGTGAAAATCGCCAGGAGCGCGGCGCCAAGTGTGCCCATGCATGCACGCGGTGGCGTCCGTCACACCGGGAAGCGGTGTGGGTGCGGCCCTGTGCTTCGGCATGCTGATGCGCTTTGGAACGCGTACTCCGCCCCGCAGTCGCCGGACCACTGCCCTCTGCTGGCACTGGCGCTCCCAGGCAGTGCAGTGGCCATATGCAGCGCCGGCGTGAGTCCCTCCTCGCAGAACATCGTTGCAGCGAGTGGACCCCCGCTTCCCAGACGCAGCGCCTGCCACTGCGCCTGCACCTTTCCGCTGCCTCGAGTGTGCTGCACCACCCGTCATATAGAGCAGCTGTCAATAACGCCATGCCGCCTGGTAGAGCACTGATCAGCCATTAAACACCCAGGTTGAGTTGCGTGCGCATCACATCCCCTTACCTGAAGTTCCACCACTCCCACCACGCAATGCATGAGCAGGACGGCGGCCAAGCCACACCCTGTGAGGCCCAGGTCAACAACGCGCGAGGCGCACCCGCTGCGCAGCTGGCCTGGCACCCGCGGCTGCCGCTGCTGGCAATTGGCTGGAAAGACGGTGGGTCGCACAGCTCGCGTGGCTCAACAGTCCCTTCCCTGGGCCGTGCTGTCGCCACGTTGGCACCCAGCAGATCGCTGCATATGTTGGCGGCCGAGGCTTTGTCTGCCGATCACATGCAATTGATGACGCCCTGGCGGTTCCTCGGCATGCATGCGTATCACACATGTGATTTACCTGTTGAACAGCTGCTTGAACTTGAACGCAGACGGCGGGCTTGCCTGTGGTTGCACCCGTGCCTGCTCGCGTCCAACATCACACACGGCTGAGCAGGTGGCCTGTCGCTGTGGGACGCCGCTTCAAGGCGGGTCGAGGAGGGTAGCCCTGCGCACCATGGCGCGGTCACGGCGCTGGCCTGGAGCCCCGGGGGCGAGCGACTGGCCGCCGGGGACGACAGGGGCAAGGTGCGCGCCGGCATGGGCACGCCCAGCGGCGGGGGGTCCCGCCTGGGCCCATAGCACCCTATCATGCAGAAACACGGCAATACGCTGGGCTGTGGTTGCCGCAGCGATCGGTGAAGGAGCTGCCGACAGGCTCATGCGCTGCTCCCCAAGCATCGGCCTTGCACCCTAGATTCCAAACTGCACCCGCCTAATATTGTATTCGTGGCTGCTGTTGCCGGTCCGCCGCGCGCACTCTCCCAAGCTCACCATATGGCGCGTCGACGAGGCGCTGCGGCCGGTGCTGGTCGGCAGCGTTGACGAGCGGGGCAGCGCCATCGGGCCGTGCGTCTGGGGCGGCGGCGGCGAGGGCGGGAGGGGGCTTGAGGTGTACTACTCTGTCCCGGCGGGAGAGGCGGGGCCGGTCTCGGGGTGTTCAGCGACGTCAGGGCCGGGGGCCGTGATCAAGTGGGCTGACGACCGCGGCCGCGTCGGCGTTGTGCAGGTGTGAGGGATGTCCCGGGTCCTCGGGCCCGCAGGTTCTGAAAAGCCACCACTTGACCCCTGGCCAGACCAGGCGTTTCGGCATCACAGGCACAGCACGGCCGCCTCGGCCTCGGCTGCGCTTGTGGAAAACATAGTGCGGGGCGTGCACTGCCGCGCATGGTAATCGCACGTGCCGCCGCTATTCATCAACAAACCCAGAGCGACGCAAGCCGCGGCAGCCCAGGGCTGCGCCCGCCCTTTGACCAGCCGGTTGGTGGTCCTGTTCCCCCCATCCCCGCCACTCTTTCCTGAAATCGCGGCGCAGGATGTGGGTGAGCAGCTGCACTGGCTGATGGCGTACCCCGAAAAAGCGGAGCTCCTGGCAGTAATCGCCAGCGGCACCCTGCTGCTCCTGTCAAGGGGCGGCAGCGGCGGTGGCGGCGCCGGCGCAGCCGACGGTGCGTGGGGCGTGACCCTCCGGGCCAAGTGCGCGAGCGGCGGCGGCGGCGGCGGCGGGAGCGGCAGCGGCAGCGGCAGCGGCAGCAGCGGAGCAGCCAGCCTGCACGTCGCCTGGGCGGCGCCGCACGTGCTCGCCAGCGCGTCGGACAGGGAGGGCGCAGTCCGGCTGTTCGACCTGGACTCTGAGGAGAACTTCACGCTGCAGTCCGATGCGTCGCAGTGCGACCCTTGGGCCGCCACCGGCGGCAGCGGCCCCAGCGAGCAGGGCGGGGCGCCTGTGCGCCTGACGTGCCTTGGGTCGAACCAAGCGCGCAGCCTTGTCGCAGCCGCGAGCTCGGATGGCATGGTGTTTGTTTTTGGGCGACGCGGGACCCCCGGAGCAGTCACCAGCAGCAGTGGCGGCAGCAGCGGGCAGGGGGCTGCGGAGGCCGCTCAGAATGCAGGGGGAGATGGCGACGAATCACAACTGTGGGAGCAGCTGCACTGCTTCCAGGTGAGGCTGTTGGTGTGTTTTGGTCACATGGACCGTCTGCCTTGCATTTGGATCGCCCTATTGCGCACACACGCTGGCCCCTGCACTGCAAGCAGCAGCATTGACACCACAGCACCACCATCCGCCCAGCCGTCTGCCCCCATCCGTGGCCTCAGACCCTCGCCGTTTCGAATGCTTAAGAGTTACAAAGCTTCCCACCACAACCCATCCGCAGGTCAGAGGCCGGCCGGTGCGAATGGAGTGGGGCCCCCGGCCCGGCATGCTGGCAGTGGGCTGCAGCGACGGGGGCGTGGTCGTGGCCACAAAGGGGCGGCTGCAGCACAAGGTCGCGGGAGGCCTGGCGGTGGTGCAGGTGCGCGGGAAGCCACCCGGGTTTGAGGGTTGGTGGGCGGCTGGCAACGGCGGGGCAGCGGCAGGCCGCAGCACTTGATCAGCCGCTTGGCTCGCTCGTGGGCGCCCTGCTTGCTGCGCGTGCCGAGGTGGCAGCCTGCACTACGAAAAGTCACATGCGGGTTGAAACAAATGTGCGCGGAGCCCAACAATGCACGTGAGATTCGAGCTTGTCGCGCCTGTTCTCGCAACCCCGTCATTGCCAGGTGTCAGATACCCTCGTGCTGGTGGAGCCCCTCGCCGGGCCGCCCCGCGGCGGCCCCTGGCGCCTGCAGACGTCCCTCCGGCCCCGCGGGCTCGACGCAACCTCGGACCACCTGCTGATCCACGATGGGGACGCGGCTGAGGTTTACGAGGTATCGCGATCCGGGGACGGCTGCGGGTTTGAGCGGGTGGGGCGCCTGGATGCGCGCGGGGCGGGCGGCGCGGCGGTGGCGTGGACGGGGGCGGCGACGATGCAGCGGCCGGCAGGCGGCGGCGGCGGCGGCGGCAGCGGCGAGGGCGTGAGGGAGGCGCCGGACGGCGGCGGCGGGACTGGGAACGGGGTTGCAACGGCGGCGGCGGCTGCGGCGGCGATGGCGCTGATTGCTGAGTCAGTGTTCCGGCTGGCGGGGGACCGGGTTGAGGTCTGCAACTTTGGAGGTGCGCGCAAAGCTTGGGGCGGGCGCGGAAAGCTTGTATCTAGATGCCATCTGGTTGTGCGAGGCAATCTTGCGGGGTGGGGATTCGGGGGGCGAGCTCGATTGCGGATCTTGGGATGGCACTGGCACAGGGGCCGAGACCACGACGTGGGGGATCAGCCAGAGAGATGAGCGAATTGCCGGCCTTTGAGCCCGGCTGCTGTTCCCGCAGGGCAGCGCCAGTGCCGCTACAAGCATGCCCGGCCTGAGTGAGCCACGCCCCGAGCGCATGCAGACGCGGCGGTTGATTAGGAGCTGCACCGGCGTTTTCTGCACCACACAGCCTCACACCGCCACCGTGCCGCCCTGACGCGCCCCGACCACCTCTGGCGGCGCACCGGACCCCATCGCTGTGCCTGGACTCCAATTTCACTCTCACACACATCCGCGCACGCGCGCGCGCACACACACACACACACACACACACACACACACACACTTACACGTACGTATGCGCACACACATCGCACACACACACACACACATCTCTGCACACACATACACACACACATAGGCACCGTGAAGCAGGTGCTCGCGTTTGACGCCGCTACAGAGGGCCGCCCCATGGCGTTGGACGCCTGTGGGGAATTCCTGGCAGTCGCCACGTCGCTGGGGGCGGTGCGCGTGTTCCGGCTGACGGGGCGCGAGGTGCGGCCGCACGCCGGGCCAGGTGGGCGGCGGGGGGCGGGCGTCGCGCGGGTGCTTGGGAGCGAGCGTGGGGGAGGAAGGCATTGCTCAGGCCGTTGCTGAGGGAGGGGGCTGATTTCCCCAATGTTTCTAGCCTGAGGTTTGCAGAAATGCAATGAATGACGTCACTGCAATGGCACCGTGCACACTGCCGCTTGATCCCCGGAGTAGGTAGTGAAGAAAAGCGATGTCAGTTGGCCCTCTCTGCCTCTGTGACAATGACAGGCCCGCTCCTGCCCGCCGACGCCGCCGGCGCCCGCCCGATGGTCGAGTCTGTGCGCGTCAACGCGGATGGCGGCATGGTCGCCGCCACCGCGCGCGGCCCCGGCGGCGGCCCGCGCGACGCGCGGCTCTTCTTGTACTGCGCGGACACCAACGCCGGCTGCGCCTACGACTTTGGGGCGGACGGGCGCGTGCCGGTGGCGGTGGCGTGGGACGCGGCCGAGAGGCGGCTGCTGGCCGTGCAGGTGGAGCAGGTGGGCGCTTGGCTGGGTGTGTGACGGAGCTTCTAATGCGGCGTGTGCATGCGCAAGGCTAGGGAAGGGCCAGGGGTTGCTCGTGGACTTTTGGTTGGGTCCTGTGCCCACGCACTCACTGCTGGACCACTCGTCTGGGTGGGCCGATGGCGCGAAGTGGGCAGCTATCAGGGTGGTCAACTCGTCCAGACCGCCCGGCGCGGGGACACCTCAAACTTTTGTGCGGTGGCGCTTCCCTGCCTTCCACACCCAGGCGCCGCTGCAGCGCGCCTCGTCGGATGCACCGCCGGACGCCCCTCGCGCTGCGTCGTCGCCGGAGAGGCCCCAGACCGCGACGGCAGCACCGGCGCCGCGGCCGCAGATCGCCGCTCAGGCGGGCGGGGACGGCGGCCGGCGGCGGACGGATGCGGCGGCGGCGGCGGTGCCGTCGCCCCCAGAGCGCGCTGCAGGTTGCGGGGCGGAGGTGGCTCTGATGTTTGCGTGCTCGAGCAGCGGGCTGCTGCTGCAGGAATACCAAGGGATCGGGGGCAGCGCTCTGAGCAGTAACAGCAGCAGCGGCAGCAATCCAAGCACCGGCGGTGGCGAAGGCGAGAAGCTTGTGACAAGCGGCAGCAGACGCGGCGGCGGCGGCGGTGCGTGCGGTTTCCTGGGCCTGAGTGTGCCGCACCTCCTGCTGTTTAAGAGGGGTGGCGGCGGCGGCGGCGGCGGGGCCAGCGGGGGCGGTGGTGCCGGCGCGGCGGGCGCGCCCGCGCAGGGGGCGCGGCCGGCGCGGCCGCTGGTGTCACAAGAGGCGATGAAGGGTTTTGCAGGCACAGAGGTGGGGTGGGGGCCGGCTGCATGAGGGGATGGCGGCATTTAGTGGCTGGCGCAGACAGATGATGATCAGTCCAAGCATGCATCATGCAGAGTGTGCGCCAGACAACTCCGTCGTTGCCCTGAGTAACAGGACTTTGACGCTGCCTTACTCCCCGCCCCC